TTACTTCATAAGCCCAGGCAGGTGTAACCGTAATTCTGCAATAGCGCCCTCATAGCCTGATTTAGGACAGTCCGAAAACTGTGTGCAATCTGTGTACAAAGTCTGTGGGGAAAAATTAATGCTTAAAAAAACAATAATAAATAAACTCCTTAAGTTATCACTGTGAATTTCTTCTAGGACTGTCCTTGGTTGATGGTTCAATGGTCTGCCAAGTTTGAAGTCGATCAGATTTAGTAAACTGCCAAAGTCGACTGGTGGAAGGAATTGAGTTGAAGAAGAAAAAAAAAAAGAAAAGAGAAAAAAAAGCAGAAAAACAATACTGTTTTGGCAAAGTTGCCGAAACAGCTAATAATCAGAAAAGCAAAAGCTGTTCCGGCAGTTGCCGAAACAGCTAGAAAAAATTAATCAGAAAAGCAATAGCTGTTTCAGCTAACTAGAGGTTTTGTCTGTCTTAACCCCTTGACGACGGAAATTTTTTTCCCGAAAGCTGACTACAAGAATTCCAGCCTCGCTTGGCCACGAAGGCTACCTGCCAAACAGCAAATTATCGGTTTGTGGTCCTGCGTGCTCTGCACGCTTTGAATTACACAGTGAAAAGGGTCATTGTTCGGTGGCATGCGGCTCTACTCACGCTTCCACATTTCTGTTGCCTCTTTTCAAAGCGGGGACTTTGTGAAGCTGGTGGTTATGATGCGAACTCGGTCTTTTCATTTCTGGGCTACACACAAAGGCCAATCACCATATATACAAGCGCCAGGGTCTGCCTTCTTTCACCTTGTTTGCTTGGGACTTAAGAAAAGGGCATTCCTTCATTTGAGACATCACCACATTTAGATTTCTTTTACTCAAACATCTATCCAAGAGTTCCAGAAGACTCTAATGATGTTTTTGGTGACCTCATTATAACAAATATTTGAACCCTTCCAGACATTAGAAGATACAACGAATTAAAGTTTGCACCCTTTACACCTTGTCACCTTGTCTATAACACTTCCCATTCTAGCTTGTAAAGAATGTACCTCTAATGTCATGTGACTGGTCACATGATGAAGTCCATACCACATCAGGTCAATGTTTGTCTGAAGCTCTTCCCTTTCAAGATATCTGTAAGGTTTGAACCCAATCGGACCTGTACTTTACGGTGTATATAGTGCTCTGAAGACTGCACCTTTGATGTCATGTGACTTGTCACCTGATGACGTCATCATCACATGAGTTCAATAATCATCCAAATCACTTCCCAGTAAAGATGTATGCAAGCTTTGAACCCAATTGGACATATACACTTCAGGAGATATAGAATTTTAAATAGTTCACCTTTAATGTCATGTGACTCGTCGGTCGATGACATTGTCATCACATGAGGTCAATCTCCGTTTATAAAGTTCCCTTCCTAACTTTCTGCAAGGTTTCAACCCAATCAGACACGTACAATACAAAATACAGTACAAAACATTGTTATCGTGGAAAGAGCACAGATTAGAGATTGTCCAACAATTGTAACAATTGTCCCTTTTAGTGTTCCATACAATGCGATCTGCTCTTGGCACCATGTGCGTAGCATTTTGCCAGGTACTGAGTATATGCCTTACGCACAGTGCGCTGCTGGCTACACGATACAGACAGATATTGCACGTCCAAGCACACAGCAGCCAATGCAGAGTATGTAAAATAAATACTCAATATTCAATAAAAATCAGATGATGACGTCATCATGACGTCATGCTTTGCGGCACATCTTTGCCATAGGGTCTTTGCTTGAGGCAACTTCTTTGAAGATTGACCCTTGCAAAGGGAGTAAAGTGCTCTGGAGAAAAATGTGTACAAAAGAAATGGAACAAGAAGAAGAAGAACCCCCCCAAAAAAATCTTGGCAAAAAGAATTCTTTTTCGCAGAATGCGAAAAAACCAAAAAGAGAAGGAAAAAAAAAAAAACTTTAACGAAAACTAAAGCTGTTTCGCCGAAACAGCTAATTATACTCTGCCACTTAACGAAAACTGAATGTTGGGAAGGCCACGGTTGATTTTGTATAGATTTTTAAAATTTAACATAATATTTAAATATTCAAAACTTAATAAAAGATCACTTGATGGCATCATCATGACATAATTATTTTAATACTATCTTTGCCCTAGGGTCTGTGCTTGGTGTGACTTTGTTGACGATGAAAGATAGCTAAGTTACCCAAATGATGCCTCAAAAACGTGTACAAAGTCAATGGGTTGAAATAAATATTAAAAAATCAATAATAAATCACTTGATGTTGTCATCATGATGTCATTGTTCTAGGACCATCTATACACAAGGGCCCTTCACTGATGTAAGTTTGATGAAGATCCAAAGTTGCTAAGGGATTAAAGTCCACGGTGGAAGAAACGTGTACGAAACAAAGTGGATTTGGGTCAGCAGAAGTCGGAAGAAAGAAAAAACACAACAAACGTAATGCCTTTTTTGCAACTTGTGAAAAAGCCAAAAAGGCCTTTTATACTTCCAAATTTGGTAAAAAATTAACCTTGAGAGGTATAAGCATGAGATGCACATCAGATGATAGCTAAAACATCGGAGTCAATTGCACTAAGTGCAACACTGGCTTACCTGTTTACACAAATGAGATGCAGACAACAAAAATGCACCTTTACTCGAAAATCCCATCTGAACTGTACATGTTCACTGTGTATTGGCTTCTATTGGGTAAACATGTTATGTCTGCCTGCAACAAAGACCTTGCACAGTGCGTGGGCGCATACTTGGGGCATTTAAACAAGCACGTGGTGCTGAAGTCAGATCACTTTGTATGGACAACATAACCTCAAAGTCATTGGAAAACGTGTCGCTGATTTATATGGAACGCCAAAGCACCGAGATGTTTTAAATCCAATTTAATCCATTCTGTGTTTTTTTGATGAACACAATGTTTGCTTGTATTTTACATATCTAATTGGTTTGAAACGTTGCAGATAGCTATCGAAAGATGTGTTATAGACAATCAGTGACCTTGTGTATGTAGTTATGATGGCTAGAGATGACAAATAATGTGACATTAAAGGTGCACACTTCAAAACACTAGATCTTGTAAAGTACATATCCAGTTGGGTTCAATTCTTGCAGATATCTTTGAAGGGGAGTGCTTTAGACGAACATTGACCTGATGTGATGATGACCTCATTGCGTGACAAGTCACCTGACATTAAAGGTGCACCCATCAAAGCTCCATATTTCTTGAAGTATATGTTTCATTGTTTTCAAACTTTGCATATAACTAGAAATGGAAGTGTTATAGACGAAATTGACCGCATGTGATGGTGACATCATCAGATGATCATGTCAATAGATATTATTAAACGATGCACTCTTCCAAGTGCTATTTTTCTTAAAGTGCATGTCTGATTGGGTTGAAACCTTGCTGATATCTTGGAAAGGAAGTGCTTTAGGCAAATATTGACCTCATGTGATGATGACATCATCAGATGATCATGTCACCTGACATTTATGGTGCACTCTTTAAAGCATGTTATTTCTTGAAGTACTTGCATGAATGGGTTGAAACCCTAGACCTGAAAAAATAATTACACCCTTAGGTTTGTGCAGTAGATACGTCATTCAAATTAATAAAAGAATGTGAAAAAGCCCTCTGTTCTGTTGGCAAGGAGACATACGACCTCTAGCTTTCTTTTCCTTTTTCAGACTTTCTCCACATGGTTTGTACATGTAATTTTGTGACAGGGGTCTTTAAAATTTTTATATTCCAAACTTGATCTAAGGGACCAAAAACATTCCTCCCATTCCCACTTGTTAGTACGCGTTCCCTGCCGTTTAATTAAAGTGAACAAAAGGCCCCGTTCCAGTGTGGCAGAACGAGGGCACACTTTGGCCCTCCAGTGAGACAAGAATGCCCCATTGTGCTTTGAGTTTGCTATGTTAATTTAGGCGCAAAGAATGCGTTCCAACCAGTGGCAGCAGCAAAAGCTATGCAATGTGTGAAGATGGTGACAGAATGAATGGTGCCTGCTATCCATTCTTAAAAAAATTTAATCTGCTTAAACTTTTCTTCGAATTTACAAGGCAGGAATTGCTGTAGATGTGTGATATATCTTTTCTACGAACACCCACGTGCCCACAGACTTGGCCTACATGTATATGTATTTCATTATTTTGTTGGGTTTTAAAAATACTTCAGGGGTCACTTTCAGATGTAAACTGAGCTTCGCTGAAGCTTTTATAGTATACTTTTCTCTAATGTTTAGGTAAAAATGGTGACATTTAAAGGGCAACGAATCATTTGGATTGTTGAGTTCCTCACCATTCGCTGAGTTTGAAACATGAGTTTGGGTTACTGCATGGTTTTGCTTTTGATGTAGAGCTTAACCTTTCAGGCAGAAAATGTTAAAAGTAAATTATTTCTGTGCATATTTTGTCATAAGTTACTGCAGGGTTCTACAAAGCCTCTTCTCCCTCTACAAAGTCGCAGCAGTAGCAACTAAGAATCTCTTACTCAAAACGCTGTCTTTGAAGGAGTAAATATAATGGAGCATCAATCAAACTACAATGAAAAGATATCAACAAACGGAAGTACATGAATGGGACTGAAGAAATATGCTCGTCTAAAGCGTGATCTCATCTCAAGTGTGCTCGTGTTAATCGTGCTCGACTTCATTTTCAAATATATCAATATGATTAGACCTTGAAATAAACTGGCATGGTTACGTTCGTTAAATCTTGACAAGCCTCAGAAGATACTTTAAATTTTCACTTCAGTAATGTTTAATATAACAAAATGTAAGTTGAAACCCTGTTGACCAGAACTTTATTACTCGACATGATTGAAAAAACTTCAAATGTGCGTGTTTACGTTCTGAAATCCCGAAGAGGAATGAAACAAATTGTATCTTTACATGTCCATCGTCAGAGTTGCAATTTACCACAAGAATGGCTTCCCTCATTGGCTTGGCTGTATTAAAGCACACTCAAATTTAAAGTTTGCTGCCCTTTTGAGTTCACCCACCCTTGCTGTGAACAGGTTTTGCAGTTTATACGCTGCCAAGTGTTTTCACTGTTTAGAAGATTGGGGCTGTGAGATCTGTAGCCTTTTCAGCATCCTATGTCAAAGGCAATGCTGGAGGTATTCAAGTAAAAAGACAAGGCTTTATATCGCAGTGGCTGGGACTCCATTCTTGCTACTTGATTTCATTCTGCTGACGAATGCTTACTCTTTGTAATGGTTTTAGTTATAAGCCAACTATCAGTATAGCAGTTTGGTTATTAACAAGCTTGAGTGTGTAGTTCTACCCTAGGAATAGGGTTTTTCATTCTAAAAGCGGTTTTTGGGGTAGGCATGTTTAATAGCAATGGGCACAGTGCATGCCTTGAGAAACCCCTTGCAAGCTGTATTGTTAACATAATTCATTGGAAGAAAGTACTTAGTATAATCTTCTCTGGCCAGACGAAGCTCGATGCTTTGTTCCCTTTGTATTGTATGTCTGAGTCATGACTGGGCATTTTCATTGTACAGGAGAGTGCAGTGTAGCTAATTGTTTCTAATGCAACCACAGGGCAAGTTACATGTACATTGCTCTATGTCCATTAGCACACTTTACAATCACATGAAACCAGAAGTCTGTAGCAAAGTCTTCTGATCAAGTGAACGTGGAATTAAACCGTCCAAAAGGGGGACATAAGTTGGCTTGACGAAAGTCCGAAGCCTAAGTTACCAAGGCAGAAATCCCAAGCGAAATGACCTCAGAGTCGCCCTGCACTGAAGGAACTGTATCCTGAAGTCATGGAGGGCATGCTCCTTCATCAAGTGCAAGGGGTCCAAGGCTTATAGAAGATGGGAGGAAGACACTGGCACTTGTGGTACTACTTTGAAGCAAGTGAAGCAACACCTGCTTTATACCATCCCAAAACTGCAAAACGAAAGGCCAAATATAGGTACGTGAACACGCATAGGTCAACTCGTACCCGTATATCAACTTGTACCACCAGGTCTAAAAGTCAATTAACATGTAAAATCCATTTAAACGACTTATAATTATGTAGTTTCAAGTAGTGTTTGTGGATATATTTTTCTGTAAGAGGAAAGTGCACTTGAATATATGATCTATACAAGTTGCGCTATATAGGTCAATATTACATCATCAAAAGACTTTTTCAATTGATGTCGAAATAGGCCTACTTTGACATTTTGGCAACAAATGTATTCTACACATTTTTCTGGATATTTCTGAATTAAGTTCATATTGACCACCAAAACAGATCTCTCATTTAATTAAATGTAATGCCAAATTTTCATCCTTCATTTATTTCAGATATGAGGATGATAGCCCGCTTGATACAGCTTCCAAACAAGGCATTTAAAGCATCCACAGCAGAGCGTAAAATTATGGTTGGACATTTGACATTTTCTGAGCACTTACTGTGTTTGTTCGAACAAAATCAAAGATTATCGGGCAAATTGTCCAACTAACATATCAATAACAGCTCTTAAAATATCAAGAAAATTTGAGGTATTTTGGCGTCCGATTTATTATTAGTTTGTGTTTGAATTACATTAATTATGCCCAAGGCATTCATCAGGGCTGATCACTTATCACCGCCCCATGTCACCCAGCGCCACACGTGTATGAACACACGTGTGTACACTTTACTTGCACAGACATGAAATCGCCCCATAATTCTTTGTGCATCGTAAAAGGTAGTTCATGCTGTTAACCAATGTTCAATTTTCTGTAGTAACCCATGCATAACACATAACCTGGGTACCAGGCAATATGGACTAGTTGTGGTTGGCTGCGTTCGCGCGGTTCCTCCAGTTCAACCCAATTGTGGTGCGTGCATTATATTCTTATATGTGCGATAGGGGTATACCTTCGTTGACTTGCGGGTCTTACTCCTGCCAAACACGAATAGCTCATTCGAACGCAGCCCTTAGTCATGGCTTAAACGTGCTCAGAGTCAGACTGTTTCTTGGTCCCCATTGTCTGAACAAAAATAAGAATGGGGTTAGGAACCCCAACTGTACCTTTTTTTAATATGGCATATCAAAAGCTGGTAAAGGCAGAACAAAATTGATTGTGTTATGACATTTTTTGGTCTAATTTCACGCTCTGCACAGAATACCAAGGCTTGATCGACGCCCGAGTTCCAGCTAAAGAAAATTCAGTTTGTAAGTCCAATGACAACAGCCATTTCTACGCAGCCAGGGTTTGCTATGTACTGGAACTTGCATCTAAGTTCATCTCCTGTTCCATCATCTACTATGTGGACAATAAGAACAAAATCAAGGTTGGGGAAGGTACTCTTGATCGTTGCATCAAGGTGACAAAGCTGTTTCCAAACAGCGATGCGCCCAACTACAGCAACCATGCTTTCCCTACCCCTGAATACCTCCTTGTCCCATTGAGATATCTCAGGATGAAGCCATCCACTTAGAAAGATCACCTTAGAAGAGACTGGTTTGTGTAAGTATATGTGCTAATGCTTTTTTCTGTAGTAGAACCGGTCACACTTTTTAGTGTCAACATGTGTGAACACAAACAATTACATGTAGGTCTGTGAACAAAGCGTCAACAACTTGAAATAAAACTTTCATTATTCAAATGATTCCATCAATTTAAGATCCAAGAATACATATGCAAATATTGTGTAAGAAAAATTTCTAATTTACTTCCAGATTCTTACAGTTAGTGGTCGCCATCTATCTTGTCACTTTTTCCTTGCAAGAACAATATGGCGGCTGGTAGGGCTGCTCAAGGAGCGGTGGCAACTTGGCTGTTCAAATATTCACATTTAAAATAAATACTATTTTGATGCACTAAATATATAAATACATCGACTCACTCAACACATTTTGATCAATTGCATAAACGCTAGGAATGCTATGGTAGATCCATTGGATGTTTTAATGCATATGCTTAATGAGAAAGATTCCTTTCAGCACTCTGACCCATCAAAATGCACTCTAAATGCTTTTCAAAATTGTTGAAATTACATTTTTGTTCACGTTACAAGGATCCGAATTGATGAGAAGTGATTCATCGTTGGTTACCTGTCACCAGAACCCGCCTGATGTATAGTGCTGGTGCGGACCAGCATTGGGATCACTATTCGGGATCTCAATTAGTGTGAAACAAACGGGCATATATGTTGCCTATAGTAGTTACACGTACCAGTTCCCATAGGAAAGCATATATGTATACATACTTTAAGCCATGGCTTTCCAATACTTGACTTAGGCTCCAACTGTTTCTTTACTGCCTGACTTTGAAGTTATAAGCATAATAGTAAGTCTGATAGTGCCACAAAACATCAAGTAATATGCAAAAGAGCCAAACATGAGGGTACTTCAATTTAATTTTAACACTTTAGGCCTACAATTGGGGATTGGTTTTGGAAACACAGCCTGAGTGGAGACGAAGTTGGGTATTGGAAAACAGCGCATGTAATGTGGGGGACATAGGGCTTAGTGTGGTTCCCTGATCAGATTCCCTGACGACTCTTAATAAAGTTTTAAACGAGAATAGTTGGTATCATCAGATCTGGTATCCTGACTTGTAGGGGCTTGGTAGCAGCTACCCTGAGTGACGCAGCAGATGCATTGCTCCAAGACATTTCGCCAAAGTTAGGGTCATGGTGATATGATCCAGCAAACATGGTGAACATTAAAATCAATTAAAATTTAACAGAAACCTTGTAAACTGTGTTTTTCCTAATTCATGTCTACTTTATTCCGTTTCAATTTTCTTTTAGACTTCCAAAAAATGACCAGGCGACTGTCTTTCTTCGAAGTCCTCATTCACCGTGCACGATTGCGATGCACATCAACGACATCTTGGGGGAACTCAACTTGGCTGCTGATGTATCAACTGGTAGATCGTTGATGGTGATGATCACTGATGGTGGGGCTGACTTCAATGTAAATCACACCGTCAATGAAGTCTACTGTGTCCGCCTTTTCCGAAATACTGAACTTCATGCTTTGGTGGTGACATCGTATTGCCCCAGACATTCAGTACTCAATCCAGTCGAACGAGTCTGGGTACCATGCACCAAAGCGTTAATATCCATCAGTCTGCCTGCATGTGTATATGGGGAGACCATTCCCCCGTGCCCAAAGGCATCTCTCAAAAGATGAAAAGGAAGAAAGGGGACATCGTGTGTTCAACTGCGCCATGGGGCTCATCAAGGACATGTACTGGGCAGGGCTTACTTTTGCCGGAAAAACAATCAGAACATTCGTGCGTGACAGTGGGTCTGCAAAGCAACCATACAACCATGATGACTACCTCAAGACTCATAAGGCTGTATCGGAGTCTGCCAAGAAGTTGTTGGAAGATGCCAGAAGCCACGAGGACTATTTATTCACGATGAAGCATATCGAGAGAAGAATAGTGATATGCATTTATACAAAGTGCAGCGATGCTGCATACATTCACTGCGTAGCCCGCCCTCCCCACAAAGCGTCTCAAGAAATGCTTGAATGTGTTCGTAGGTTCCCCTCCCCCAAACCATCCATGGACAACCCAGGACATTTCATGACTTTCATGAGGCCCTCAACTCCAGCCATGTACCAGTATGTGACCACCTTCCCATATTCCAACAAAAGGGACTAGGCAGGTGCCCAGAATCTAACTGCAACTATGTTTTTACAAGCAAGAAAGATATCGGGGACCACAGAGCAAAGGTTCATGGCAGGTATTCTGCATAGAACTACATGTCAACAATATCTGTTGTGGTCCCACATTGTATTTTAGGTGAATTTTGCAATGGGAATATTTTGAAACAAGGGAATATTTCTACATTATTGGGGTTTGTGAAGGTACTTGTATACTGTACATGGATGCGCATCATTCACCACCTACTGGGTCTTAACAAGATTATTTCTTTCTGTATCCCCAAGTAGCTATGTGAAAAACATGTATCGTAGTTTGAACATCCAAGTGTATTAAAAACCTTCAACGTGTACACTCGTATGTCATGCCCCTCCAGCTCCCTATTTGTATTGTTTCATCTTTTAAAGATTATTAGCTGTTATGATTATAATACCGTAACTCACTTTTCGGTATATTCTGTTTTGTACTCCCAAGATAGGCATAGTCCTTGAAGACGATGGTCGAAGCACAAGTGCATATTAAAGTTATTCTTAATTCTCTGCCAGAAACATGGGTTGACATTTTTTCGATTAGTCCAGTATCTGTACCCACATGTACATTCGCTACGAGTAGCCTATACAGGGCTTAAAATGCCTGTGCATTTATTTTCAAAAGTATTTTCTCCAGATTTTTGTAAACATGAAAACGAAGGACTGATTCAAACAATAAGGTTTAGTTTCTATTGTTTTGAGCATAAGACCTAAGGCAATAAAATAAAGTTGGTCTAATAGTTAAGAAATGTATTCAAACATACAAGGCCATGTTTGGAGTTTTCCTTTCAATGTTTTCATCAATGTTTTTCAACCATCTTATCAACTGATTTTCTTGTTCGGTTCATCTGCTTAAAAACTTTACCTGCTTGATGTAATAATTGAGATTTGATACCGTTCGCAATCAAACAAGAATACATGTATACATCTACTATGAAACTACCAGTATTGAACAGGAATGAATTTTTCCAGAGACAAATGCCTGGAAAAAAGCAAGCATGAGTCCAAGTCTTTTTGGGGATTTTGACTTCTGCATGTGCATGTACAAGTAGGCCAGCAAAAGGGCAAGGCAAGCCGAGCACGTTTTATAAGTTGGTGCTTGGATTTTTACGATAAAGTTAAGAGGAGGCTGAGAAATTTTTGTTATAGTCTAAAATTGGTCTTCAAGTGGGAGAGGAGAGGCCTTTTTTTTCAAAAAAAGGAGAAAAGACATCCCTTACCATCACTGCTAGCTGCTGAGGACCAAAGAAAGCAAACACAATTGAAATGGGGGACTTCATAGTCTCTAAAAGAAAAACTAAAGAAGAAATTCACATTGTATATCGGTAAACTGTTGGTCACCGAATACAAGACCTCTCAAAATGGAAAAAAAATTGTTTTCAATTTCTGACCCTAGAAGGTCAGCAGATCTGAGCACTACCTTAAAAAAACTCTTGCCTAATGCAGGCTGGAGTTTTTCTACTTTGCGTTTCATTGAAGCTTTCTCAAACATTTCGTCTACTACAAAACTTTTTTTTTTTTAAGGCAAGAGCTCTTCATGTCTCTCCCATAAAACTCTTCAACTGTGCATCATTTTGCTGAAACTTTTTACCATTAAATAAACCTGCAAAAAAAAGGAAGAGTCAAAAACGTTTGACAGATTAACAGTGTTCTGTATCAACAAGGAATCAAACCGTGAGTGCCAATATGTACGTTTAGCTGATACTTCTTGTTGCATAGAGTCGATGGGAATTGTTCCAGCATGTCATACACCGTGACCAAGCTATTATGTTGATGCATACCAGACACATGTGAAGCACTGGGCCTGTTCTGCACACGAAAGAATGGTAGGATTAAAGAACAATAGCTGGGGCATTTCATCCCATTCTCAAGCGTGGGAATGCGAAGAATGTTTTGGTCTTGTCCCTAACTAAGTTCCTGTTAGGGGCACACACTAAGGCCACAAGGGAGAAGAGGTTCCTGTACAAGTTTGTCATAATGACGTCATTAGCTTGCAAATCTCATGACATTAAAGGGGCACTCTTTAAAGCACTATATCTAGTGAAGTACATGTCCGATTGGGTTGAAGTGTTGCAGATAGCAAGAAAGGGAAGGGTTCACGATGGAAATTGATTTCATCCGATAGTGGTATCATTATATGACAAATCATGTGACATATATCGCGATGACATGGATTTTTAAAGTTTCCACTGACTGCTTTTCATTTTTGGCCATTATGACAATTTTATTTAAATGATTTGTAAAAACCAAAGTCATTCTTTTGTCAAGGTTTCTTCCTTCTCCCCATTGATCTTCTCCCAATTCATCATTCATCATCAGTGCATGGCCTGTAAGAACAATGTAAGAATCCTGACATTTTGGACAATGAATGCAGATATTTAGTCTTTTCTTGACGGGCATTTTCTGACTGTAACTGTTGGGATCGATATTTGAGCAATTTTTAATGAATTAAAGGTCTTTCCATCATAACTTCTGGTCTGATGACATCATTAGCCCAAAGTTTTGCACAAACATTGCAGGCATAAAGGTCATTGTATGGACCAAATTTTCAAGCAATTCTGGCAAACTTTGCCACAGACATCTTGTAACAATGTTGAGATTTTGTGAACAGCTGGGATACAGGATGCACCTTTAAGTTTCCAGAAAAGTGTAGTGGTAAATGAGTCAAACACCAGATGTTCATCAAGGCCAGTTGACCCATTGATAAAACTTGGCTATTTACTTGGAATGTGGGGGCTGAGGCCAGTGGGTCCATAACTTGCCCTTTTTTCATAGAATAATATTTCTTTGAAATGAAGGGGTAGAACTTTGAGTCTGATGAGACCAGTTTCGATGCTTTAAACCTGTGAAGTGTTTTCGTGTTGAGAAAATACTTGTTTTGTGAATTATTTTGCTGTGGTGAAAAACTAGTTGGCAAGCATTAGGATTTTCCTCGCAAGCTCCCTGTTTGACTGTTAGAAGCTTTGCATGAGGCAAAGTTTTGAAAATCAAAGAAACACGTATTCTTTACCAACTTCTGTTTGTCAACAAACACTTCCTCCGAGTCTGAATTGTCCGTGCACTTGGGCCAGGACGGTTGCTTAAAGTTTGGTTACTGCGACCCATAATTCAGCGCTACTTAAAACATCTCATGACAAGTTAAGAAGTCGAGATTGTTACACATCTATTCAAGATACATTTTAAACTTTTTTCATTCACTCACCAAAGGACCCTCAAACTTGAATAACATCAGCAGTATATGTTTTAAGGAATACTATTGTGTCGGAGACTAACACAGGTGAAAGTAAGTTTGTGTCTATTACCAACTTTAAATAATAAAGTATTTCCAGTTTGGACCAGTTTCGACTGGAAGGAAAAAGGTCAGGTAATTTTATGTATACGAGAAGAAATGAAGACCGAAGTTTACTTTATCTATTGGTGCAAAAAGCCAGCTGCTTGAAGTCACGGTTGATTTTATGTCGATTTTTGAAGACTGAACATGAATAAAATTCAAGCTCTTGTAATTTGACATCTAGAGACGTCATCATGAAGTCTTTGTTCTAGTACAATCTCAGTATCTGAGCTTTTGCTTTGTGTAACTTTGATGAAGGAACAATATTGCCAAGTGACCTGAAAATCTTTGGCAATATGTGTTGAAGAATGAATATTCAAAATTATATTGATGACATCATCATGATGTCATGCTTTGATGCACATCTTTGAATGATGATTCAAGTATCTGCCAGGTTGGAAGGAAATTGGAATTGTTTTAAAACCAAAATGTCTCATGTTATGTCTATGGGCAAAGAGTGGAAAAAGAAAACAAAGAAAAAGAAAAACCTAAAGAAAACAAAAGCTGTTTTGGCTGGTGCCCGAAGCAGCTAGAAAAAATCTTATGAAAACAAACACTTCAATGTTGCAACTGAGAAAAGGGCACAAGGGCAGCAGTGTCACAACTGCCTCCCCAAATTATAAGGGCAGCATGAGTTCTACTATTGTGCTATTTAAATACTTCATACTGTACTAAAGCTGGCAAATGATACTCAGAATAGTATATATTTAGGGCCCACTGCATGTAGGATTATCTACTTTTACCATGTCAAAGGTTGTCCTCTTGCCCAATCTGTCAGCTTGAACTATGCCACCCAGTTACTGGAACCTCTGAGTAGGTAGTCGGGGAACACATACATGCTTGGCTGGGTTCTTGGTGGCCGTGCCAGTAAGTGTTTCGGCTTGTTTGGTAGCTGGCCTCTGGCCTGTCTGCCTCAGGCATTCAGAAGGGCAGTGAAGGAGATTACAGCTAATGGCTCATGCAGCCTTGGATGCCATATGAAACTATGTATATATATTTATATATTCTTCGCATAATAATTCCACAGCTAAGACTAGTGGCAATAAAGGTAGCAATAATATTAAAATGCATATAACTATACTGATCGCCTGGTGAAATTACTCCAAAATTATTGGATCAAATTAACAAAGTAAGACCACTTAATCAAAATGGATATAATAAAGAAAGAATACCTATCAGCATCTCCTTTGTGTTTATTATTATTAGCCATTCTTTAAAGCAGTACACATGTACTCAAATATTATTTAATTGACAACAGAAAATTACATAACCTCGGTGCACAAGTACAACACACAGACATTCTCAAGTACAAATCAAAGTTACTTAAGTGTGTTTGTACATAAAAGTAAAGTTCTGATGCCTTGACAATGCTGACAGGCAGAGCTATAATTATTTGGGGGTAAAAATTTTTAGTGTGTTTATGCTTGTCAGGAAGGACATGGATATCACAACACTTATGGGGATTTAGTGTTTCATTTCTAAATTTATTCATATTTGATTGGGTTACCATGTGGTTTTGCAAAGCCCTATGGTGGTTTATATGTACTTGCAGCTTGATGTACATGTAGTTGAGTAAGATTCAATAGAGCATGACAGATACAGCATATTACTTTATCCCTATCTTTTACAGGAGGGCAATGAAATTGAGTTTCAGAAGAAATTGGAGGAAAACCAAAGAAAAGCTGAAGAAAGAACAACAAAAAAGCGGGAGAAAAGGTAAGAGCATAAAGAATTAGGTCATTATCATATTTGTATTGTACACATGGTTTCTCGTAACCTTTAGCCAACCACAACCAGTGGAGGTATGTCTTGTGATGATCTTGACTAGTCCTTCGTGCCACCTGTTGCATTTTGATGCTCCATTGGCCAAGCTGAAAAGACATACTGTTTCTTCTTTATTACACATTGAATTTTTAGAAATGTGCTGTAATGAAATGACAAATTGGCTCTAAATCCCCTTTACAACTTAGTAGTGCTTTTTGAAATTTATTTTGATGCATGGGCTTAGATATTTCTACATTACCCCTTAGAAAAGGACATTGTAATGTTAGTTTCGGTCACTTCAAATATCACACATATTTCTCTAACTAAAGCAATTATGGATATAAATATACACGAACGGATAGAAAAACATGTGCCCTTTGAGGTGCCAATATAATTGCCAGATTTGGAAAATTTGCAGACTATACAAGCTCAAATGTACGAAGCCGTCTTTGCACATGAAGAAGCCCTATTATGTGTGGACAAAGGTAGAATTGCACAATATAAGAAGCAGGAGGACAAAGGGAGAATTGCACAATATAAGAGGCAGGATGACAAAGGG